AGGGAAAGACATCGTGACAGCACCAGAGCAACAAAACCTCTTCCCGCCTTGCCTTCCCCAATATAATTTCCTTACTTTTCTTTATGTGCATTAGACACGTTGCTGAATCCCAGGTCAGCAGGACACACAGCGAGTGCTCAACAAGAAGCAGCGGAGAGACGCCAGGCATTTGGCTGCTCAGCCTTCAGCCGGCGAGTACCTCGGCTGAGACTTCTGACTATTTGGATATGGTTTTATTTCGTTTGAACACCATCTGCTGCATGTAATATTCTAAGGCCAAGCTTCTCAATTATGGAAAGCTGAACAAGCAACAAGTGAAATAAATCTGATACTCTTATCCTAGTCCCTACGGATGCTTTTCCACATCACCAAAACCCCACACAGTCTGAAATAAATGAGGAAGGTTGGCAGGTGCTGGGCAGAAGCTCAAGCCCACAGTGGCAGAAATGCTGGAGAGGAGACTAGCCAACGCTGGCAGAGTTCACGTTAGCATCATCTACAATGGACCTTGCTCCAGCTGACCATATTAGTCTTCTGCTGTCATGATAATCTGATTTTTCGGCATTATAAACCTCCCAAATTAATAGAAAATAGAAACAGACGGGCACACAACTGTGTATCCTCCAATATTATATAAATTGACCAGTCAAAATACTTGAAATAGTGGAATCTCTATACCAAAAAAATGCTAGGCAAACCTTAGTTTAATCTGTAATCATGCAACAGAATCAGCGTACTGGAAATTAAATTACTTTCTGCTTGAAAAAAGTAATTTGTAGTCTTATGCAATTAAATATAAAACCATTAATATTAATTTTATATAATAATATTTATGCTGATAAATTTTAAATCACCTGCTGCCCAGCAATTTCAAAAACAAGCCAAGTCAAAAAATGCTCAGGCTAACCACAGGTAGCCCAGCAAGTTTTACAAACTAATTAAAATAAATATGATTTAAGAGATGGAGCTTGAAAAGCAAGCAAGGGTATTTTTTTTTAATAATTGAAATCTTTGAATATTTAATTTTTAAAATTGCTTCTAGCTGACTTAAATGAATATACTGCTGTGAAATCTGGCTCTTTGGAGGCCCTGTGAAGAACAGCTCAGGGCCAGAATTTCACTTGCTCAGAATGAATTAACCAGAGATTTTTCAAAGCTCTTTTCTCAGGGAGGAGGCGGTGGGGTTACAAATGCATTTCCCACTTGCAGCCAGGTTTTTACAAGATTTTAATCTCTGGCTTTCTGACCCTTCTAGCAAATCTGGTGCCAGCTGTGGGTGTTTCCTTTTTGCTGTTGAACATTCAGACGTTAACACGTGGAGGTGCCGGACCTCCTGCGTGGGGTTAAAGACACCCTCTGCCCCAAAGATTTTACGGTCCTAACACCCGTCATTTCGGGCCACTCTCTGCAAAGAGATCTGCACGCGTTTGAAACTCTTCCTACACCAGATTTTTCCACGCTATGATTCCTGTTCTTCTAAAAGGACTTTTCTGACAGTTTTAATTTACCATTCCTGTTTGTGCCTATCACACCTTTGTAAATCGCTCACGTATCTGAGGAGAAAAATCTGAACTATATAGGCAGTGCCTCACGATGCCTTTCTGTCTGCTTCCTGTGAATATTAAAAAGCAACGGAAAGCGAAAAGCAGCCAATGCTGCTGTCTGTGTGCACAGCTATGAGCATATTTAAAGTCAGGCTAAAAGGACGCACATCTACCAACCGCACACAAAGATGCGGCCACGTGCCGCTTGGTGCCCGCAGAAGGGATGCTACTTGGGAAGGCTGCTCGGGGCGCGGGTGGAAGGGAAAAGAGCCTGGTGTCCTCTAGGTTACCACCCCCCCTGCCCATTGCAACGAGTCATAATGCACACGTAAAATATACAAATCAAGGCTGTGATTAATAAGTGTGATAAATCTGTTGCAACAGCTGCCTGTATTCATTTCACGTACCCTTTTCCTAAAGGCTTCAGCTCATTTGATTTCAAACTACCCATTGTGGTCCCTTCCACAGAGGTTAAAAAAAAATATCTTTCCTTCATCTTCTGAACATCCCCAGTGAGCCTCACTGTGCAAAGTGGGTTGTCCTCACACAACACCACCCTCTTCCAGTGCAAAGCGGTGGCAAACCAGGCAGGAGCCCTCCTGGTGGGGACGGCAGTGACCTGCTCCCTCCCAGTGAGTCACCGAGTCTTTGGCAAGAGAGTCGTAACTGGAGCAAGAACATCATGACAGATCATACCCACAAGAGAACATCATCAGTTTTGACATTTTTGTCAAGCAAACTTGGGAAAGTATAGATACGTTTCTGGGTGTGCTGTCAGAACTCCACCTACACGGGATCATCTGAGCTGGACACAAACCCAGGTCCCTGGTGTCGGGAGCGGATGGTGAGTGTTCATCGGCAGTGATGAACGCTGTACCAAAATCCTGCGTAAGGCACAAGAACCGAGGTGGAGGATGAACGTGGCACAGGAATTGAAGTTAAGCAAACAGAAGTAGAGCACTCGAGGCTGAAGCTGCCCAAGGCTGACTGACTCAGTGCTGCAACAACTGAAAGCCCATGAGATGACTCCACCAAGCCAGAGTAAACGGAAAATATAACTTATTAAGAAAACCAATCATAAACACTAGTATAAAACGTAACTAGTGATGTTAACATATCAAGGGAGGTTTTTCTACACCAAGTTCAGGTTGTTTTATAACTCCCATTAATATATTTGATATGATTTCCATGGATTTGGAACAATTCACTCAGAGTCTGACTTTGGGGAAGCTGTAATAATCTCTGCAGTCCTGTCACCCAGTCAGGGCAAATAACAGTTTGCACTGATTTGATGCACTGTAACAATTCCTATCAGTGCAGAGCAGCTGCTTATTTTATTACATGATTTGGATAAAACATAGAGACATTTTCATTGAATTTGCTGAAGTTTCATCAGGGTGTGTTTTCACAGTCTCTGTGTGGGGATCGGAGGTAGTGCTTTGAATGTCAATGTCACATATATCTGTTGTCCTTGAGCTGGACAGGATTTAGAGTTTATTCTACTTTGCTTTCAAAGGCAGCATTGTCCTCTTGTATTTTGCCCCCTGTTCACATGTACAGTGCAAAATTCCATTTTCTTAGCTATCTGTAGAAACAAATTAAATACTTGCGAGTAACCCTACAGCATCCCAAATGCTAACACAGTTACACTGAATGGATAATCACTACTCTTATTATTGGAATACTGGAGATGCTTATGTGATTATCTCTTCATGAGGCCTATCTTAATAGTAAGACCATGGTCTTAATACCACGAATGGCTGATAAACTGGGCAGGAAGCAAGGATTTTTATCCTCTTGCAAGCAAGGAAGTTTACCCCCTTGCAATCTTCACATACAGACTGTCCATAAAAGCAAATCTCAGCTCCTGAGGAATTGCCAGCAAGTATGACAATAAATTGAGATTTGGCACAACGCATTCATTTTGTGACTAAAGGAAGAGAAGAATGCCGTACCACCAAAATTAGAAGCAAGTAAACTGCATCGACCTAAATTTATCCTCAACTATATCTTGGGAACGTACCCAGCTTGCTACAGACCTACAACTCCCTAAGGACAGTTTGTCGAAAGGGATGCTGGGGATCACGAAGGGCTACACTGCACACGGAGAAGGCTGAGGATGAGGGTGACTCCACACTCTCCAATTATAAATATCTTGTCTTTAGAAAAAAGCATGATCAGACACAAAATGAAATCTGCTGGATATATATTATTTGCTATCCCTACAGAATAGTAAAAGGAAATCAAACAAGCGACACCGTAGGGAGCATATAATGGTGTCTACACTAACTTCGAGTTAACACATAGCTTCAACAGTAATAAACAAAAATGATCAGTTTAAAAGTGGGTCAGTTTAGAAGCAAGCAATATGTGCAATTGTAATTATTCCTTCCAGCCAGCAATATCACTGATTTATTGTGTCCTCCAACCAATTAGCCTTTTAAGCCCTGTTGCAGGTTTGCAAGGTACACGGACTAACCTCTACCCAAATCGACTTGGAAAACTACTTTCCTTTCCTTTTTTTTTTTTT